ACTGTGGGAAGTTTCCCTCTCTTACTTTAAAGGATGCGGAGTAAAGCAGCAGTGTTTGAAATCAAGCGGCAACCTCCGGTGTTGAAAAATGAAACCTACGCAAAAGTGCAAAATCCGCAGTTCATCGAGTGTCCATGGCTGCTGATGGGCTCCAAAGCCCCCTGCAGAACCAGAGGGGTGACGTCACTTATCGTCCATTAATATTTAGTTTTTGCAGAAAAACTCTTGTAGTTTTTTGGGTAGAGCTGCATGTGTGAACAAAACATATTTCTCACTCTGACTTTCTGCTGCGAGCCCCCTATAGTACTTTCCTGCAGAAAGTCTGTGTGAGCTGATGTGAGAACACAGCAGGATAAAATCAGGAGAATTCACCTTGATCAAGGGGGGGTGTTTATTACCCTGCGATCGGTGCACGATCATAGTCCAAAAGAGACGTATATCGGACTAAGTACAACACTAACAAGGATCAAGTCTGATCGGACACACAGGTGCTGACAGGAAGTGACCAGAGGAAAAGCACAACATCGACAGCTGTTCTAGTCAGCATCAAAACCATCCTAAATATCGTAATTTTCAAACAAAAATCATCATCTAAATCATTAAGTGTGTAGACGTTCATGACAGAGCTGGGTCTTTAGCTTGTTCCTTCAAGGTGTATGACCTGTAGGATCTCCTTGCATGTAATGAGACTTCTGCATTATTTTTCCTTTTCTCCCGTATGATCTTTTACACTCTTCTTTTGATGTTATTGTGACATCTGTGTTATAGTCCTCCTGAAATTCTCCAGAAATTTTCAGGAGTGCATAATGTGAAAACATCTACATTCTCGTTTTGAGCCAGGGAAAACTATGCAAACACGATGAAAAGAGACAAAGAAGATCAAAACGTAAGAAATAAATCCATTTTAATATTTACAGGTTACATATGGAAATCCATTTGTTTAAAAAAAAAAAAAAAGGAGATAAAACAATCCATAAAACAATATTTTCTTCAAGTAAAAAAAAAGAGATGAATACAGATTTGAAAGCTTGAATATTTACAACACAATGGACAGTGTGTTAGCCACCATTTGAATGGCTCGCAGAGGGTCCACAATATCTTTAAGCTTGTCCTTTCTGAGAACCCAATCCGGCGCAAACCTGGAAAACAAAAGGCAGGAAGTTGATTAATAAAGGAATCAAAGGATTATCAGGACATCTCAGACATGAACTAAATAAAACATGCATACACGTACTTTGGCGGAGGTTTGGATTTGCGAGGCGTCGCTGGAACATAAAAGCTCCCGTTGATTGACGCGTTCATCTTTTGTTTTAGCACCGTCCTTTCGGCGTCCATCTTGTGTTTGCGTGCGGTGAGGCGGTAAATACTGCGGATCTTGTCCAGGACCTTTGGAAGCTTCATAACCTCCTAAAAGAAAAAACAAAAAGCCATTACATTTAGAAATCTACATCAGGTGTCTTTCTGTTAAGTTTACTGTCACAAGAGTCTGTAAGTCATCGAGCGACGGACCACGGCGCGGCGTTTGTCTTGCAGGAGGAGAGCGAGGAGGAAGCAGGCTTTGGTGAAGATGCTGCCGCCCTTTTCTGCCACTTTATCGCCGGCCTTTTCCCGGTATCTCTGCAGCAGGTCCAGAAGAGTCTCCACTGAGTTCTCCACCGAGTACACGGCCTCGGTGGTCTTGTGGTACTGAGGGTAAGACAAGGAGACGGGTGGAATCAGAAAACGCTTACGCAGACAAAGCGGATGAGAAATGATTGGAAACAAAAAAAAAAAGGGTGGGAAGTGTAGTGGAAAAAGTCTGATCTGTGGGAAGGAAGTGGATGAACTTCCGGTTTGAAAAAGGAAAAAAGTGCCTTAAATCTGCAGGAAGTTGGCGGTACCTTGGAGAGGTTGAGGAGGATCTGGATGGAGTAGGTGATGACGTCCATGCAGGGGACGCTCCTGTTGCAGCAGCGGATGAGCGTGAAGATGACGTTGGTGGCGCCGCTCTCGACCAGCTGCTCGCAGCACTCCGGGGACAGTCTGGTGGCCGTCTCTGTGCAACGTACACCATCAGAGACACAGTTTTAGCACTCAGGAGAAACGGTTTGCAAAGGCATGAGACAAAAAATGCTCACAGTAAGAAGCAGGTTTATGAGCCGTTTGCAACCCAGATGAATCTGCTTCAACTGTAACTTAGAATCATTCCGTCCAACATCATCTACAGTAGATTTGCTCTTCTGCTGATGCTTTTGTCGCTCATAATAAACTCATATTTCTTGAGTGATTAGCCAGAGCGGAGGCAGCCTTACCGAGGTTCTTCAGGGCCTCTAGGATGTAGGAGAAGTGTTTGTATCGAAGGAGGTAGTCGAGGGCGGACGACGTCTTGTTGCGAAGTTTGTCTTCCTCTCGGACCTCGGCGGAGACTTTGCGCAGGCGGTGCCTTAACGCCACCACCTTGGGGTTGTCGTTCAGGCGGCGGGAACGGTGTCCTCTCCAAAGAGCCTGCAGGATATCATCACGGCCAGTATTAATAGTTGAACTGATTATAGCATTAAAAACCAGTAGCAGTATATCCAGCCTCGCCTGCCGTACCTGAGCTTTGACAATGCCCTGCTGAACCCTCTTCTGCCTCCTGAGAAGGAGAAACCTGCGGACGGCCTGCTGGAGGACGGACGCGGCTTTGTGGCGACGAGCCAACCAGCGCTGGGCGGCTCTCTGGGCTGTGACCACCTTCCTCCGCTCCTCCAGATACCGTCTCCTCTGCTGCTTCGCTCTCACCCATCGCTAGGAAGGAAACAAGAAAATCATTATAGAGAAAAATATTGTGCTCCTCAATTATTCTTTTAATTAAATTCATCAGAGCAACATGGCATTGTGGGCTTTTTTTCCCGCCCTCTGTACCTGTATGGTGACGACACAATGGATTTGTCTTTTGGCCGACTCTAAAGCCCAGTGAGCTCTTAGAGCTCTCTGGATCTTTATGGCACTGAGATGGTGGAAGAGTGCGGATGTAAAACGAAGCCTCCTCTCTGCTCTGGCTTCCTCCAATGCCTGAAACACAATGACAGACATTGCATTTAAATATGAGCAGCATCTTTCCAGGCATTCTGCTGTTTTCTTTGATTTTTGTACAGATTCAGCTGTATCTGTCCACTACGAGTGCTGCATCATGGTAGACAATTTTCAGGGTTTCTTTGACATAATCGTCTTAAAAGGAAATAAGGAATGACTGATGGATCGATTTAAAGAGAAATAAACAATGCATAAGGTGTTCATTCAGAAGTGGTGGGAAAACGAGCGATCATGCAGAGATAAATCATCCAATCACATAAAAACATTCTATATCTTTATAAGGGCTATGTCACATGTTTATTTATAGTGTTAAATCTAAAAGAAAGCCAGGTAAAATAAAGCTCATTTGAAATGGAGCTCATTATTACCTGCTGTCTGGCGATCCAGGCTCTGCAGTGAGTCTGAAATGTGATGGCAGCTCGCCTCAATTGGACATAGTTGTTCCTCTCCAACCTGCCGAGCTGCAGCGCCCGGACCCTCCGCTGGAGAATCAACGCCGCCTCCCGCTTCCTCATGAAGTCGTGTTTCTGCACCAAACACCTCCAGCGTGACTGGATCACAACGGCGGCCTGCTTTTGTCGCTTAAAGTCCCTCCTAACACAGCAGCCTCTGAAATGTGCCTGAAGGATGATGGCAGACTGTTTTACTTTCAGGAAGTTCTCTCTGTCTCTTCTTTTTAGAATGCAGGCCCGATAGTATCTCTGGATGATGATTGCAGACAGGAGCATGGCCTTGAATTTAACTTCTTCTCTGTGTTTTCTGAACACAGACTGTATGACAGTTGTGGCCTGATGCCAGCGAGTAACCTCCCTCCTGACCTGCTGTCCTCTGAAAGCTGCCTGAAGGGTGACTGCTGCTTTGCGCATATTCAGGTATTGGCTTCTTTGAGCTTTCGCTGCTACAGTGGCCCGATACCTCTGCTGAATGGTGAGGACAGACATTTTCAGTTTCAAATACTGTCTCCGCTCAGTGCAGGCTCTGTATGCTCTTTGTATAACACCAGCAGCCTGTTGCTTCTGTTTGATGACTTGTCTTGATTTCATTCCATGGTATGCCGCCTGTAACACAACGACAGCTCTCCTCACCTCTTGATAATGTTTCATCTCAGTCTTTCTCTGTCTCTGAGCTCTAAACCTCTGCTGTAAGACACAGGCTGCCCAGAGCTGTCTCCTGAAGGCTGACTGATGTTTATGCCTCCTGTAGTTTGCTTGAATGATAGTCGCTGCTCTGTGCATCTTTGCAACACCGCTTCTCACATGATGACCTCTGAAGGCCGCCTGAAGGACGATGGCAGAGTGTTTCATTTTAAGGAATTGTTGTCTCTCGTTTCTCTGCAGAATGCAGGCCCGATAGTATCTCTGGATGATGATTGCAGACAGGAGCATGGCCTTGTATTTAACTTCTTCTCTGTGTTTTCTGAACACAGACTGTATGACAGTTGCGGCCTGATGCCAGTGAGTAACCTCCCTCCTGACCTGTTGTCCTCTGAAAGCTGCCTGAAGGACAACAGCAGATCTGCGCATGTTTTGATAGTTTAGCGTTTGTTCCTTTGCTGCTACAGTGGCCCGGTATCTCCGTTGGATGGTGAGGACGGAGGATTTTAAGGTCAGATACTGCTTGTGTTCACAGTGGGCTCTGTAAGCTCTCTGAATTGCACCAGCAGCCTGATGCTTCTGTTTGATGATTTGTCTTGATTTCATTCCGTGGTATGCCGCCTGTAACACAACGACAGCTCTCCTCACCTCTTGATAATGTTTCATCTCAGTCTTTCTCTCTGTCTGAGCTCTAAACCTCTGCTGTAAGACACAGGCTGCCCAGAGCTGTCTCCTGAAGGCTGACTGATGTTTATGCCTCCTGTAGTTTGCTTGAATGACAGTCGCTGCTCTGTGCATCTTTGCAACACCGCTTCTCACATGATGACCTCTGAAGGCCGCCTGAAGGACGATGGCAGAGTGTTTCATTTTGAGAAACTGGTTCCTTTCTTTTCTCTGCAGAATGCAGGCCCGATAGTATCTCTGGATGATGATTGCAGACAGGAGCATGGCCTTGTATTTAACTTCTTCTCTGTGTTTTCTGAACACAGACTGTATGACAGTTGCGGCCTGATGCCAGCGAGTAACCTCCCTCCTGACCTGCTGTCCTCTGAAAGCTGCCTGAAGGGTGACTGCTGCTTTGCGCATATTCAGGTATTGGCTTCTTTGAGCTTTCGCTGCTACAGTGGCCCGATACCTCTGCTGAATGGTGAGGACAGACATTTTCAGTTTCAAATACTGTCTCCGCTCAGTGCAGGCTCTGTATGCTCTTTGTATAACACCAGCAGCCTGTTGCTTCTGTTTGATGACTTGTCTTGATTTCATTCCATGGTATGCCGCCTGTAACACAACGACAGCTCTCCTCACCTCTTGATAATGTTTCATCTCAGTCTTTCTCTGTCTCTGAGCTCTAAACCTCTGCTGTAAGACACAGGCTGCCCAGAGCTGTCTCCTGAAGGCTGACTGATGTTTATGCCTCCTGTAGTTTGCTTGAATGATAGTCGCTGCTCTGTGCATCTTTGCAACACCGCTTCTCACATGATGACCTCTGAAGGCCGCCTGAAGGACGATGGCAGAGTGTTTCATTTTAAGGAATTGTTGTCTCTCGTTTCTCTGCAGAATGCAGGCCCGATAGTATCTCTGGATGATGGTGGCAGACAGGAGCATTGCCTGATATTTAACTTCTTCTCTGTGTTTTCTGAACACAGACTGTATGACAGTTGCAGCCTGATGCCAGCGAGTAACCTCCCTCCTGACCTGCTGTCCTCTGAAAGCTGCCTGAAGGACCACAGCAGATCTGCGCATGTTTTGATAATTTAGCGTTTGTTCCTTTGCTGCTACAGAGGCCCGGTATCTCCGCTGGATGGTGAGGACGGAGGACTTTAAGGTCAGATACTGCTTGTGTTCACAGTGGGCTCTGTAAGCTCTCTGAATAACACCAGCAGCCTGATGTCTTTGTGTGATTATTTGTCTGGATTTCATCCCACGGAAGGCGGCCTGTAAGACGACGGCAGCGCTCCTCTTTGCACTCAGTACTTGCATCTCTGTTCTCATTTTCTTGTTGGCTCTGAAACGTGCTTGCAACACATTTGCAGCCCAGCTGAGCCTCCTGTAGTAGCTTCTCTGCTGGTACTTTCGGAAGTAAGACTGAATGATTAAAGCTGCGGCATGCTGGATACGCAACTGCTTCCTTATCCGCCACCCCCTGAACGCTGCCTGCAAACAAACGACCGCTCTACGCTTTGATATGTAGTCTAAACGGTCATTTGTTGCCAGGATCACTAACCTGTACCTGCGCTGACAGAGCAGAGCTGCAGCCTTGAGAGCTAGGAATCTTTTTCTCTCTCTAACGGTGAAAAACTTTCTCTGGATGATTGTGGCTGCTCGGTGCAGCCGTGTGATCTTCCTCCTGGCCACGTGGCCTCGATACGCTGCCTGAATGACGACAGCTGCAGATTTCAAGCCTCTGAACGTCTGCATCTGTTGGTCCCTGAGCATTTTGGCCCTGTAGCGTTCCTGAATAATGATGGCAGCACACTTGGTGGCGAGATATGCCATGCGCATTTTGTGCATCCTGAACTGAGCTTGGATTGCTCGGGCAGCGGTGTGCCTCCTCTTCAGGTCTCGTCTTACTCTGAATCCCCGGTAGACAGATTGAATCTTTAAGGCCGCCTGCTTTATTTCGCTGTATTTGTTTTGCTGCGCCCTGCACATTAGAAGAGCTCTGTATCGGCTTTGGATGATTATCGCAGCACTCTGCTGGAGGAAATATTGTTTCCTACATAAAAACATCCTGACTGAAGACTGAATAACGGTCGCTGCCAGGTGTTGTTTCTTCAACTCCGCCCTGACTCTCATGCCTCTGAACGTAGCTTGGAGAGTAACACAGGCCGCTCTCACGTGTAGGTATGCTTTCCTCGTCTCCTGTCCGGCCACATGAGCTCTGTAATGACGCTGTATGAGGACAGCAGCTGCCTTCTGGGACCTGTACTCTGTTTTCGCTTTGTGCCGACGGTAGTAAGCTTGTATCAGTGTTGCACAGCGATGCCACTTCTCGATCCTCTTCCTGTCAGCTCTGCCTCTCCATTTAGCTTGTAAAGTGAGAGCGGCATGCCTGAGAGCGTCGTAATCCTCCTTTGTCTTACGAGCCAAGACCGTGGCTCTGTACTTTTCCTGCATCACACACGCAGCTTTCCTCAAACGGAGGTAGCGCCTTTGGGCAGCATATTTCCTAAAAGCTGCCTGGATCGCCGTCGCTGCCTCGTGCTGTTGTCTCAGGGACTCCCGAGCCACTTTACCGCGATAAGCCGCCTGTATGGTGATGGCGGCACGTCTCAACCTCACAAACAATTGCCTCTCCGCGTCTCTTTCCGCAGAGGCCCTGAACCAACGCTGGATGAAGACCGCAGCACATCTCATCCTCACCACCTGCTTCCTGACGGCGTGGCCTCTGAAGGCACTCTGAATGACGGCAGCAGAGCGGTGTTGCAGCTTCAACTTCTGAAAGCAGCGTCTCTGCGCGTGGCCTCTGTACCGGGCTTGGATGAGCACCGCACTTCTCCTGATCTCCCTATACTGACGGAGACATGTCTGCATCCTATACCAGGACTGAATGCGGACAGCGGCAGCGTTTTTTTCAGCCATTTTCCCCTCGTACCATTTCTTGAACACAGCTTGTATCACTTGGGCAGCACGATCTTCCTTTGAGGTTTTCTCAGCTTTCCACCTCCTGTACCCTCTCTGTATTTTCACGGCTGCAGCTCGAAGAGAGAGGTAGTGTTCGCGATCTTTTCTTCCCAAGGCCAGAGCTCGGGAGTGCTTCTGAAGGACAGTGGTCGCCCAGTGGACCTTTCTGTACGCTGAGGCCGCCCTGCTCATCCGCCATTGTGCTTGGACAACAATGGTGTAGTATCTGAGGCGCTGGTAAGCCCTCATGGTCGAAAACATCCTCCACTGAGTCTGCAGGAAACGATAACAAACATTTATAGTGTGATTAAATAACACAAGAAGGCTTCAATATTACAAAAAATATTTCAAATCAGGAACACTTTTACTTTACGACTGTGCACGCTGCCTGAGGCCTTGATCACACCTGGTTTTGAAAAGTGTCCTGCATGATCTAATCACACTTTAAGTGTAAACGTAAACAAAGCCTACACAGTAAGAGAAGTATATATGTGCATTGTATGTTCTTTAATATTGCATAAACAATATGAAGTGCAGTCAATAAACAAAGAGTGCATATCAGCTATAGATCACTGATTCCTTTTCTGTCTGCTGCTCTTCGTTTTTTAACACACCTTTAGTTGTAAATCCTCCTAAACACATTTTATTTTACCACTACATTCTCACCATTTAATATGAGGGCAGCTGATAGCTAGCATGAGCGTCATCTGACTACATCCAATAAGCTAAACATACGCCTGCTGATTGAGAAAGCATTGCATGTTTACATTTCTTTTTATTTGATCTTAATAATGCAATAAATTCAGACTTTTCTTGTTTTCTCGCCTCAAGAGCCAGAGGAAACAGCAAAAAAATATGTCCGGTGTGATGGGACATTTTCCTCTCAACGGTCTTGTTTAGACACCTACCTGGATGACAGTCGCTGCGTTGTGCTGCAGAGTCCGAAGTTGAGCCTCTTTTTGGAGCCTCATCCTGTGTCGGGCAGCGTAGCCTCTCCAGAGCGACTGGATGAGAACGGCTGCTTCGTTCTGCCTCTGAGCTCGGCGCCTCTGCAGAAAACTCCTCACAAGTAACTGGATTTTCCCAGCAGCCATGTTTCTTTCCTGTGACCAAACAAAAACCAGGAACAAGATCAACTTAACAGTGTTCACCAACTTAAGATCATGCACTCCTTTCTCTGTCTATTGTCTATCATTCAACTGGCAACTGCAATTGCTCCCAAGAAAATGTGAGCCACATTATCAACACAGACTCAGGTTTGTAGTGCACAACTTGAGCTTCCACACAGACAGAGGACCAAAAGGACCAAAGTGTCTACATCAGATAAACTAACTTTCATCACACTCTGGAGTTTTATCAAACGTTGAACTAACCTTGTACAGCTGCAGATCTTTCTTCAGTCTGTATTTCCTCCAGGCGCCCTGAATGACCCGAGCTGCTCTGGTTTCGTTCCTCAGGTCGAGAAGACGAGCGCACAGGAAGGACAGGTACGACATGACCACCTGGAGATGAAGGAAGTGAAGTTTAGAAAAGAGCTCTGTGAATAAAGACATGTTGCTCTGTCTGTTTTTACAAAAGCTTCAATAGATTTAGAAGATTTTTAAACAGGTTCTAAGATTGATTTCAGGCTACACTGTTTATTGCATGACTGCAGACAAATCTTTTAGATGAGACCCTGATGACTTTGTGCTTTAAAAAGATTATTTAGTTTTGGACATAGAGCTACAAATCACTTCCTTGATTTGTAGTTGATACTGTTCCATTCAAACATCAGTTATTGAATCTTCAGTCCACAATAATGAAAAATAACGAGGCAGCGAGTCCGTCTTTGACTCTTCTTCTGCTGACAAAATAACGTCTGCAGGGGGAGGGGAGGGGTAAAGACCACCTCCAGGTCTGCTCTCACCTTCTCGTTGGGGATGGTGTTGGACATGTCGGCCGGGTTGATCATGGCGGGGACTCCGCCCAGGAAAGACACGGCCGTGTTGACCAGCCTGAAGTTGTTTTTCTCATTTTCCAGCAGCTCTTTGAATTCAACCGACGGAGAGCCGATGCCTGTGCACAAATAAAAAAAAAACAACAATGCACAGATCCAGTCATAACAAGTCAGGAACTGTCGCTACATTGTCTTTTTTTAAAATGCCTTTACATACATCTGAAGTCAGCCGCTCGCTTTGACCTCAAGTTACAATGATTAAAATAAAAGGGTTTTATTAGTCGGTAAATCGAGATAATCACACTCATAGTAAAAACATGAAGAATAGCTGTGCTCTAGGGCAGGGGGGGTCGTAAGCCACAATTTACAGAAAGAACTTGTTCAATTTGAAGTAAAACCTTATCATGAAGTGAATTTAAAGTACCGTTGTGGCCTTCTGGCGGGTAGTCGAAGGAGTTGTCCGAGTCGCTGGCGGAGCAGTCGAGCTCCAGTCGCCCCCTCCGTGAGCACTCCACCGTCTGGGTGGTGCTGTGACTGACAGCCTGCGCGGGCAGGACGCCGGGGTGGTAGTGGTGGATGAGGTAGCAGAGGACGCGGCCGTCCGAGAACGTCACTGTGAAGTTCTCCACCTGCACACGCAGACAGACAGACCTCAGTGACTTTTCTTTTAAAGGGGGAATCATGAGACTGTGAACTCACTGAACTCACAGGAGGGGGAGGGCTACATGTTTAGGTAGAAGTTGTGTGTTGATGTCCAGCCGTGTGAACAGCGGAGATAAACAGCTGTTCTAATAGAGAAAGAGACGTAATAAACCTGACTTTCTGAAGGCTAATATTTAGTTTGAGGAATATTTCTGGTCCCTTAAAAGGCTCACTGACATTCAGAGCAAAACAGTGCTCCCTTCAGACACACCTCCTCCATCCTTCAGCTCCCCCCCCTCCCTTCCTGTTTCACTTTCAGGTTTCTGCAAACGAGCGCTAATAAACATCTGAAAATGCATCCTAAAGATGATCTGTTTTCGGTTCTGCACTTTGGTTTGGAAAGTCTGTTGACTCTAGCCGTCACTCTGTCACTGTGCAGCTAGCATCAGGGTCCCCGAGTGGGCGGGGCCGTCTCTCTTTTAAGAAAGTTGTTATTCCACAATATATTTACATGTTATACCTTTAAAGAAACTGAAACACATGGTCAACTTTGGTGCAAACATTTTCCATAAAGCACGTCCTTGCCGTTTGTTTAGTAACCAGAAGAAAGCGCAGCAGTCTGAAAAGGTAGAGACAAACTTGAAGCTTTGAAGATGCTCCTCAACAAGGTGTTTTCAGG